TGCGTAGACCTCCTCCTTCAAATCCGCTAAGGAACGCCGACTTTGACGTCCATGTGATGAACACGCCGACCCTCACAGGCGCTAAGCGCAGGAGGAGTCGCGACGGACTCCATCCGTGCCCCACGGGAGCAAAGGCGTCGTCGTCGGTCGACCCTCCTCTGCCAGACGAAACCTCGTGCCACCAAGCGAGCCTTGTGCTTGACGATGGCACCGGCTTCATCCTCTTTGACTTGAACACCCACTTAAGGGTGATCGCGCGGTGACCACGAGGAAGGTCAAGCAGCTCCTCGGTGCGGTTCTTCTCGACCGCATCCATCTCCAATCTGCATCGCGGCGCGCGCCATGCCGCGTGTCTCTGGAAACCTCTGCATCATCGATCAGAGGCTTCGCCGTCGTCGCCGCGCAAGGTGCAAGCTGCGCCTCTAGGTCGTGAGGCACCGGTCCCGGCATACCGGTGGTCACCGAGAAGGTTCTCCATTGTACGGTATCTGCAATGGCTCGCCGTCGTGGTGCAGCGTCGATCGCGCTCCTAAATCGTGAGAGAGCGGAGAAGCGAAGCTCAGCCCGAAACATGTTGTGCTCGACACCAAGCCGAGTAGACGTGCGGGAGAGGTGCTGTCGATCCCGGTGTGTGGCGCGTTTACCGTGGTGTGGTGGAGCCGTGAAGAACTCATCGCATGCCCGAGGTCTACTTCTAATTTGGAGAGCGTGTCTTTTGTCGAAGTAGCGGCGCCGGGGTCGGTGGAGGCTGGGGATTTGGGGTAGACGCGCGCGCAGAAGAGCGCGCCTACACCTGACTCCCTCGAAGTGGGCGTACTTTCGACAGTTGAAGTCGTCGTCACGTCGGAGCCGAGCCATCGTCCACCGCCTTGTCCACGCCCATCCTCGCCCGCCGAACCTGGCGTCGTGGCGCGTGCGCACTACCTGTGTCTTGGTCGAGGATGCGGTAGGGCCTCGAGCCCTCAGCGTGGCCGATGAACACTCCCGGTGCTCGCCGTCGTCGAGCTTCCGATGTGGCCAAGCTTCTGGCGAACGCGAGGCGTACCAAGACCCGCAGTGGGGAGACCGCCGGCTTGCGCCATGCCAAGCCTCGTGACGACGGCGTCTGCCGTCGAGCGCCTTTGGTAGGCGGCGGTTGAGGATGTAGACGGCCGTCACCACCGCCTCTCCCGGAAGACGGTATGGCATCCCCTCTCGCTTGAGGAGGGCCCGAGCCATCCCCACAACCGTTTGGTTGCGCCATTCGACGACGCCGTTGCTGCTGCGCGGTCAGACGGTGGCGGAGTAGCAAATGGCGTGAATGCCCTCTGAATTGTGATGATGACGAATTGCGGCGCCGTGAATTCGCCGCCGCCGTTGTCGGTCTTGTGACTTCGCCGCTACCGCCTCCCGGCGACTTGACTGCAGCGCGCGATGGCGTCATGACCTCTCCCTCTTCTGCCGAGGACCATCACCCACATGTAGCGGGAGAGGTCGTCGACGGCGGCAGGAAGTAGCGTCGTCCTCCGGTGTGGCCGGTGTCACCGGGCCACACAAGTCCCGTGCTGGCAAGCTCGAGCCTCTCCTTGGCTCGGAAAGCTAGCCCATTGTGGAAAGGGGAGTCGCCTGCGCTTTGTCAACACGCAGACGTCGCAGAGTTGCTCCACATGGTCGAGGCACGGCAGCCTCGCACCATCTCCGTGTGCAATCGAGCCGCTTGAGGGCCTCGAAGTGAAAGGTGCCCGGCGCTCGTGCCGCCACGCCCGCCTCGTCATCCAAGCGGCGAGAGAGAGGGTTGTGCCACCGCACGTTAAGGATGTAGAGTCGATTTGCGCTTACGGATACCTTGGCAAGAAGGCGGCGACGGCGATCCCAAATCCTCATGACTCCATCCTCAACCACCACGCGCGAACCATTCTCATCCGGTGTCCCAAGGCGATGATGGAGTTCCTCAACAGCGGGGATGTAGTAGACTCCGGTGAGCGGCTGTGCTCACCAGACACACACATGCAGTGAAGATGACGAGCCGAGCGCCCTTGATCTCCGCAGGAGGCATCCCCAAACAGCGGAGCCTCGGACGCTAGAGTCAAGCTCGGTGAAGAACTCCGTCGACCGGTCATGTGATGGGGGTGGCGCCGTGTCGAGGCACCACCGTCGATCTTGTCGCTGCCGGAGCCGTCGCCGAGGAGGGCATGTGCTTTTGGCTCGTCAAGGTGGAGGAAGAACCGCTGCGGCGGTGCATTGCTCGGAGGTAGCTTCGATCTTTGGCATGTGCCATAAACGAGCCAGTTCCTCCTCACTTTGTGCGACGTGGGCTGGCCGCGTCGTGGTGTCGACGATCCTTGGCCCAATGGCCAAAGCCGGCCGCGATTAATGGCAGTGTCGTCTCGTCTTGCGGCTTGTGCTGCCGTGGCGCCGCGCCTGGCGCCTCCGAGCATCACCCTCGGCAAGACGTCCCTCGCTGCCAACTGTCTGGCGTCTCTGCGCCTGCTTGCGGCTTGCTGCACGCTTATGCGGCCGCTTTGTCGCGGAAGAAGGCTCCCCCTTCCTCCGGTCACCACGGGCGGCAAGCCCCTTTGCTCCCAGTGAGAAGGAGCTTCCCGCTTGATGGTGATGGGCCCCGAGAGGGGCTGTGGCTCATCGCCGTCGGCGACCTTGAGGCGACCTATCGCCTCCTCGATCGACATCATCGGAGAGATCCGGCAGAGACTTCGATCGAGCGAGCCATGCTGTACTTCTCGGGACGCGCGGCGGAAGAGCTTTTCGGCGGCTCTCTCCTCGCCATAAGTGTCGTCGCCGAAGCGCACCATCTTACGCAGCGAGTGTTGAGGCGGAGAGCAAAGTCATCGCGTCCTCACACGGCTTGAAGGCGAGTTCTCCCTCTCCTTGCGAAGTGCTGCGGTGTGGACTTGCGCTTATATGATCATTTGCCGTCGCGTCTTGCAGGCGATGGCGTCCCAAGCCTCCTTGGCGATCCGCTTCTTCGGTAAGCGAGAAGCGCATCTCGGCGGGGATGCGGCGATGAAGCGCATCCGGCGCCCGTCGATCTAGGTCGTGGTCGGCGTCGCGCCGACCGATTAAATTTGCCTCCCACATGTGCCGCACTGGAGCTTTACCCTCATCACCGCAAACAGCCCACTCGGCGTAGTTGGTCTTGGTGAGGTAGGCCACCCACCGCCGGACCGGCGTCCACGACAACGACTGGAGCCCGTGGTAACCACGGTGCCGATCCGGAGAGAGAGTCACGCCGCGCGTGAAGGCCACGCTCTCCATCGACATTGCTCGGTGCCGATCCGGGGAGAGAGCCCCGCTGCCGTGAAGGCCGCGCTCTCCATCGACCGCCGCCACCATGCCGCATGCGCGCGCCTCCGGGGAGCGCCGCCGCCGTAAAGTAAGCGCGCCTTCTCCAGAGCGCCACCGCGCGTCCGCGCTGTCTGAAAGCTGCCGCGCTTTCGTGGGCGTCTTGGTTGCCCAGCGCGCCGCCGCCGTCTTGCGCGCCTCCTCGAGGCGCCCGGCGCGTCCGCACTTTATCTCAGGCTGCCGCTTACGCTCGTGGCGTGTGCGGCCACGCCGCATGCCGCCAGCGCTTCTTCATTGCCTCCCTCTCTAGCGGCTTCGAGGTCGCGTCGGCGGTGTCGTCGTGCGAAATACTTTTGCGATCTTTTTGCCTGTGAAACCTCGACCTCATTGCCGCCGCCGCCGCCTGCTTTGCATCGCGCCGCCCGCCGCTTCGCCTGCGCTCATTGCTTTGCCAGCTCCACTGGCCGCCAACCTCGGCGCCCTTGCGCTGTTGCGCGCGTAATGTCTGCGCCGCTGCTTCGCTCGCGTTCTCTGCGCGGCAAGTTCGGCCTCTGCCGACGCTTGGCGTGCTTTCGAGGCGACCGAAGCTGAGATCGCCTGCGGACATGACGCTCTGGGGGCTGCTGCGTGGGGAGAGGCTGCCAGACCTTTTGCTTTCGTCTGTCTGTGAGGAGTGGAGGGAGGCGGCGGGCCGCTGCTCCAACCATGCAATTTGAATTTGTTGTGTGGTTTGGGAGAGGAGATGAGCAGGAGATGCTCAAAGCTCTGAGGATAATCTGGCTCGATACCACTTGTTAGTATCGCTGAATTCTCACTCTTGGTAGTAGGAGAATTCTTACTCTCATCGAGAGAGGATGACACTAGGAGTTGGGGCAATTTTCTTGTCTATTTCTTACTCAAATGCCATGCCAACTTCGAGGGGTTGGGGTTACATTTATAAATTATTATTGATACCAAGATATCTTAGAAGATGCTAGTCTAAGATGCTAATATCTTGTCCTAAAAGCTAAGATGATGTCCTCTAGTCTAAGATCTTTGTCCTCTACAAGATCTTTGTCTCTTTGTCCTCTAGTCTAAGATGCTGTCCTAAAAGCAGAAAAACAGCCACAAGGACCATGTGAGCAGTACAGCCCCACAAAGATCACACATGAGACTTATCCATCAGTATGTGTGCCCCCAAATTTGCCTCATGTCTGCATTGTATCAGACCTGTGTGCTGTATGAGTTTATCCTCCTCTGCTTCCATTCTGCAGGTTGACTCCCTCTTCTTTCTGCCACTGGATTATCTCTCTCTTTTGATTTGGATTTCCATGGATTAGTTCCTGTCTGCTGCATGATCCCACCTAATGTACCATACAGACTATCTGCACATGTAACATATCTCTATGCATGTAATGTATATGTATGCTTCATCCTCGACTCTCTTCGACGTGTGTAATATATACATTCTATATATATCTATATACTTTGTTAGTCACCGCACTTCTCCACATTCAAAATTTTACGTGTGGCTACTACACATTCAAAAATTTTAAATCACACATTTTTGTTTATTGTGTGTATATTCAGTCTGCTCCTTCAATTAGCATCCTGCATGTTCCAACTTATTACATCCCCGAAGACAGCATATCATATACGGCATGAGAATCGTACATTCAAAAACCTGAGCTTATCCCCTTACCGGCGCGCGCGAAGGCGCGTGGCCTTCACTAGTTGAATAATTATGACGCACCCCTGTCCCGCCGCGTGTTGTCTGCTTGCTTGTGCCGCGCCCCGGGCATGTATCCTGTCTCACTTACGGCGTCTCGGGGCTCATATCCACGCCTTGGCGGCTTGCTGCGCCTTTGCCGCGGTGTTGTCGAGCTGCCAAGTTGTGCCGGCACTCCATGCCGTCGTGCGCTTGTGCGACTGTGCCTTCTACTTCTACTCGGCCCCGCTCCATTTGCGCCACCATTGGCTGCCTGCTGCAGCTGGGCGGAGTCTGGACCCCGACTACGACTAGGGCTGCCGGCTGCGCAGGTTGCAGACAAGTAGGTTTTTAGTGTGATGAGAAGCTCAAAATTTATTTAAAAAAACCAGAAACCAAAAGCCAGTTTTTTTTAAGCTAAAAACTGCTCACACAATCAAACAAAGAGACCATCCATTCAACACTTCCGCCGTGGGGGATCGCTTTCGTTCTCTGGCGTTCCTCCCCATTGCCTCCACGACTCCACACTGTAGGAGCCATGGCCGGTCTTCTCTGCATCTCTTCTCTGTTCATTCAGTTCATTTGATCCAGTTCCACCCGTCAGGCCATCACGCATAAACAACTGAAGGAATAAATCATCCACGTACAAATAATGAAATGAAAGTGCACCTATTAAGCAAGCTATCTAGTTACTAATCATGGAGAGGAAATGGCTTAAAGAATGAACCGATGCCTGCCATCACAAACTGCATCATCATCATCATTCGATTTGAATGGACTTTAGGTCGATTGGAACAACGTCGATCTTCATAGACTGGGCTCAAGGTTCAGAGAGCCAGCTTTACACATGTACTTGGCTTCTCAGAAATGTTATCAAAGTAGTCCAACTAATCACAGCTAGTCATGATTAGTCGGGCTTAACAGTGCCATGACGATCAGTTATGCACTAAGATTAGTCACGATTAGTCAGGCTGATCGGTGCCATAGCAACTAGGGTCGATTAGATGATTTGAAAACATTGCTTCACATGGGGCTCCAAAATTTCATCAGAGCTTGATTTTGGACCTGCATGGATGATGTCGAATATGGTCCCGTCCGAATCAGAATACGTGGTAGAAGCAATGATAATGGATGGATATTTTCTAGAAGGTACAACTCAGAATTATAGCTGGATGTTACCTGTAGAAAACCTGGAGGTGACGACGGTCCACCTTCTAATTCCTTCGGGTCCGTGAAGTCTTGTTCCTCAGGTTACCTGCGCTCTTCTTGATGGCTGTAGCCTCCTGCAGCTTTTTCTGACTTTCTTCCATAGCAATCAACTTCTCCCTCAATGCAGCTGTCTCGTCTTCAGCCTTTCTCTTAGCCTCCATGGCTTCATCCAAAGATGCCTTCAAGGCTGCCTTCCCCCGTCGGCGCTTTGGGCCTTCTGATTGCTTTTGACGTAATTCATGGAGTCGCCGTGCCTGGATGTAAAATGAAACCTCAGCTCTTCCATGCACGTTCCACATAAATAAAAAAGAAGTCATATGAATTTAGTTTCTCGTGTCTCACAATGGCATCAGCTGCAGCCTTCATCACAGGCCTCCCATCCTTGGGTGTGTGAGTCAATATGAACAAGTCCTCAACAGTTGGCTCATCCTTATTTGGCCATTTTTGTTTCTGTTGCACAGAATAACACAATTAGTGCATTACTGACAGTGAAAGCAAAGGAACAACCTTAAATTACCTCCTCTTCAATTCTACGTGCAAAGCTCTTCGTCCCTGAGGTCTGATAAGTGGTTACTTTTGCCTGAATAGCCTTGTTTTGAGCACTTAAAGCCTGATCAGAGATAAACAAACTAATCATATCCAACAAGCAACAAAATCACAAATCACAACGGCAGCAGAAGCTATGCACAGGAAATGGAACATTAAGTATTACCTGTGCTTTTTCAGTACTCCAATATGCAACTAAGAATCGCCAATGTTCTTCGAGGACACGAGGATTCCGATCGGCAAGGCGCTCCTCTTCTGTTTCATGAGTATCAAAATGCTGTTGTTTTAATTGAAATTTCCAAGTTCTCCACTTCTTTGCTAAATTCTTCACAACCCATGACTTTGGAAACGGAGCAATGTCAAATTTGAGCTACACCAATAGATAAAGTGTGTAAGAGAACTAAAGACAGTGGCTAAAAACAGAAACCATATTAGTGCATACCTTGACAATATGACACATCGCATCCTTATTTTTCTCAGGAACAAGTTTCCAATTATGGTATGTAAGAGGTACCAGTATTCCATCCCGTGCTAATGCACCCAGAAAGGAAGTCAATGTGGCTGCTTCTTTTCCAATAGGTTGACCTGAAGAGTTCAATGAAACTGGTATGTGCATGCCCTTATGCATGGTCCACACCTTCAGACATAGTGTTAAACCACGAGGACGTCTACCTATTTGGAAGGTGGCAAAATATCAGAAGTCTTAACAGCTGTACAATCATTTATCTGAAATCACACACAACCTGACTCAACATGGCTTGAACCCAGAGTCCTGTAACTTGCCATAATGATGAGAAAAAGAAATGTCCAGACTCAAGGTCCGTTCAGCCAAGAAACAAAAGGGAACTGCAGTCCGCTTTATATCAAATCTCCCTCCTGTGTTCGATTGGATCAAGTCCAAACACTCAAGTTTTGTATTCGATATGTTGGACTAGCCCAAGTTAATTGTCCTCATGAACTATAAGATTTGGGGAGACCAGGAAAGAAAAGAAAACCACTAGCAGCTAGCCATTCTCAGTTCATGTACTGTTGTTGCAAGGGTGTAAAACATATTTACAGGTTAAAAAAACGGTATTGCTAAATAAAAGGCATACAGGTTTGCAGATTATGCTCAGTCAGTGTCTCAAATATATAGATCGCGGTTACTGTAAAAATACCAAAAAGATTGACACCCATGAGTTCCTCACAATCACAATGAAAAAAAATCCATGTGTAATGATGCATATTGTCTTCTATTACTTCCATATCACAATTTTCCATTAATGTCAAACTAGCTGTTTATCTCACCGGAGTCACCATTCAGAAGTTAAAAAGAGACCAAGAGGAAAAGTTAAACTTCAACGTTGACTTCAAAGTATTAACCCCCGATAAATTGGTTAATAAGGGATTCATCAGACAACGTAGTCAAGCAGTCCCCAACAGGTCACTTTTCTCCTAGTGGTATGATTCATCTATTAAAAGCCCAAAATTGCACAACTACCCCTTGATATGAATGTGCAACTAAGTTCTCAGATGGAACTGCCACAATGATCCCATCAAAAAGACAAAAACACAGGTGACTATTGCCATTTTGCCATGGTTTCAGCATAACAAAAAATTATCTAACATAGAGCATTGAAGAGGGGAGGGAGCACGAATGAGAGTGGAGTAAGGCCATTTTCCATCCTTTCTTTATGACTTGTTCTGTGGCACACACAATAAGGATGATAGAAATGCAAATTACCTTTTCTCTGAGATTCTAGCTGCACTTCCTGCCCTTCTGAATCCATTGAATCTCGCAGGTATGCCTCGCCAGAACTTTGCTGGGACGTCATATGATGAGGGGATGACTTGGAATCTTGCTTTGCGAGGGCCCTTTTAACATCTAAAGGAATATAGGTACAAACAAAATCCTCAGGATCAGCCATGTCGAGGTTTGAAGAAAAATGCTCAGCATCCGACATGTCATGGTTTGGAGAAGGTAGCGTAGTTATATGAAGGTTCTCCGATTCATTAGAGCATGTTTGAAGAAACTCAGGTGAAGGCAATGAACTGTTACATAAATTGTCGATGATTCTATTAGTATCTGACAGATCAGACGAATGTACTGGAGACTGCTCATCAGGCTCACTTTCTGTTTGTTCAGCATCTATAATGGCCGTTGGCATGAGTCCATTTGGAGAAACAGCTTGACATCCAACATTTTGCCTATGAATTACTTCAGTGTCCATGACAAGTTGTCTGTCTGTGGCAGCAGATGAATCTTTTGCCAAACGTTTGCTACGCCTAAGCTGAAGAACTGAATTTGAAGCAGCAACCAAGCCTTTCCGTTTCCCTGCGTGAACTCTGTGGCTTCCTGGCTGTTCCGATTCCACGTGAGTTACTTGATTACCCATTTCCTTGCGAATCGCAGATTCAGAATGTTCCCTTCGCACCTCTTGAGTGGCACCATTTGTTGTCTGTTCTTGTCTCCTCTCTGAACCCATAACATCGAGGCCAATCAACTGCCTCCTGCCCCTGTTGTCGTTGCCTGCAATAGTCTCATGAACCAGTTGAGCGCATGCCCTTCTCTGTGGTTTGTTTTGCTTCCAGGTTTTTGTTGCTTTTCCTGAACATGAATTGTCCCATTTGCTGATCCTGCCTGAGCAAGCTCAAGAGATGTCACGTAACAAGAATGTTGTTTCTGTGACTTATGCGTAATCTGTTGGGCAGTCTGCATGATTCCCCTCTCGACACTTACAGTTCTGGGGCAAATGGATCGCCCAACTGTCCCATTTATATCCGTTGAGGTAGTATCGTTAATATCTGCAACACACCCTGATTCACTAAAAAGTGCAGAATTAACAGGATTTTGCAGCGCCTCAATAACTCGATCCGGATTCTGTTGATATGACTGCTTTGCACGAATAGCATGGCTGGAAGTAAGATCTTGAGTCTGGTGCCTGACCTGAGATATAGGCTCACCATGTCTCTTTTCTGCAGAAACAATTCTGGAGCTGCCTGGATATATGTTCCTCTGCTCCTGATACCTTGCAGTATCGTCGGGGACCCCATGTAACTCTTCTCCATCAATCGTGTAATCAGGATGCCCTGATTCTGGATGCTCTGATTCTGGCGACTCTGAAATAAACTGGCCAGCATGCTCTGTATGTGCCTGTTTGATCCAAGTTAGCTAAATGTTAGCTATTAGTCTGGCAAAACTTGCAAAGTTTGGATTCTCTTGCTGAATCTGAAGCGCATAAGGAGCAGCCAAAAGCTACGATGATTTTCTCGGATTAAGCCTCTAAAGCACTGCACCACCCATCAAGTCAAGCTAAGAGTTCGATATGTTTAAACATTGTTAAATTGTACACTGAGTACATAGATGATAGAAGCTCACTCTAGATTTTGTTATTACCAAATTTCTAAAAGAAACCTAATCCTAAGAATAAAATTCCACAAGGGGGAAAACACAGTTACACAGCAGAGAAGTATAGCACAATACCTGCCGGATTTGGAGGATGGGAGGCTCCGAGGACGAGGCGCCGAGCGGCACCACGGGGACGGCATCCGCCGACGCGGCGGAGGAAAGGAGGTAGTGCCTGAGCCTCGCGGTGTCAACGGCGAGCTCGGCGCCGCAGAGCGGGCAGGCGCAGCGCGTCATCCCAACGGGCACGCTGAGGAGCGCGCCGCACGCGCCGCAGGGGAGCCGCGCGCCACGTACATCCGCGGCACCGCGGGGCAGCGGGAGTGCCTTCCGGCGGGGCGGCGGCGGCGGCATGAGCTCGGGGGGAAGCGACTGCGGCGTGGCGCAGTCCGGGCAGATGAACTCCGTCAGGCCCCGCTCCACCTCCAGCGCCTCGCCGCACCCCGCGCACCGCACCTCCAGAGACTCCGCATCTACCGGATCCGCCGACGCCGCACACGCGGCGGTCGGCGGGGGCGCCATTGCCCTACCTGGCTCTCTCGACGAGGGTGGAAGGGTGGTTTTCGTTTCTGCAAAGCTTGGGGAAAAGCGGAGACGGAGAGATGCGTCGCAAGCTGCGACTGTCTAGGTTTTGGAAGCGGAGAAGTAAAAGTGAGACGGAGGGCTTATCCTAAACAGCTCCGTCTCAAAATTTGCATTCCTGGTCAGGAGGGAACACGTCACACGAATATTGTGTCAGTGGCAATGCTAGTCATAGTCGTGCCACAATATCTTGTTGTCGTCGGTGCCCTAAGGGTCAGTCAGTGCGTCACAAATAATAAACAAGTACCGCTAAAAATATCAATTGCTAAATCAATAGGTTTTCCAAAGCGGACTTGAGCGTCCGCACGTCTGATCCGAGCACTAGCGCCTAGTGCCCGCACAGGGAGGAAGTGAGCGCCTAGCGTGTCGAGCTCGCGAGCGAGCGCACCAGCAGTGGGCCCGCGTCGCCCTGGACGTCGCCCGTGCCGCCAGCCGCTTCCCAGGCGCATCCCACATGCAACACCCGATCTACTTTTAAAATATTCAGATGCAACAGTTGCAACATAAAAAAAGACAGATGAAACACTTGAAACAAAGCGTCTAAAATATTTGCAAAAACGTCTGAAAAACATTTGAAAAACATTGCAAACATATGCAACATCCAGATGAAACACTTGCAAACATATGTATGAAACACCTGAAAACACTTGAAAACATATACTTGCAACATTCAGATATACTTTTACAACATCCAGATAAAACACTTGCAACATACGTCTGGTACAGATGAAATATTTGGAACATACACTTAAAACATATGTGTATAGCCATTACAACATGTGCAGCATCCTGATCTGCTTTTGAAACATAGATATACAACACTTGTAACATATCTCTGAAACGTCTGAAACACTTGAAACATACTTGTCGATGTGGGACCTACAGGATACCCCGCAAGAGAGATAAAAGATCTAGTTCAACTAGGATTCTTCCCATGTAATCTTAAATAGAAGAACTATTAAGTAATCCTTCTAGTAAATCTCATTGTAAACCGACTAGGACTCTGGCCTCCTGATAATATAAAGGAGGGTAGGGCTCCTGAAAGAGAGAACAACAATTGTACAACATAACACTTCATAATCAATCCAACGCAAAAGGCAAAACGTCGACTGGACATAGGGTCGTTACTCGATCTACGATCGAGGGCCTGAACCAGGATAAATCGACTGTCTCTTGCGTTTACCATCGAGTTCAGCATACGCCGAAGCCCGAACGATACTGCCATGGTACCCCTGTGGCAGGCTATCGGTGGTAAAACATCGACAGCTGGCGCGCCAGGTAGGGGATTTCGGCGACTTTGCATCCGAGACCTCGATGGACCTCAATAACATGATCTTCCCGACGGAATCGATTTTCATCTTCGGCTCATGGATCTGCGAGGCGGACAACTACGGCAAGCTTCAAAGCCATCTCCTCAAAGATCCGGATCATCATGAAGAATCCTCTATTTCGACAACTACGACGGATCAGCTCACCAGAAGATTCGCGCAGCCCATAATACCCGATTCGAATAAGATTCCACGGCTACACGCATCCGACTCGAATTCAAGCTCCGTATCCGAGATGAAGTCTTATTCGAGTGCTTTCAAGAAATCGAGTTCCTTTTTGGCAAGATTCCAGAGCACAACCCAAAACAACTCGGATTATCCTCAGAATTCTTTTAAAAGGCCAAGTTCTTTTCCATTTGGGCTCGACAACACGACAAAATCCTATCAGGGACAGTTTGAAAGGTCTTTCAAACCAACACTTGGGATACCACTGACAGGAGCTCAGGAGGGTCTCGTACTAACGATAACATCGCAAGACTGTATCATCCACTGGCTAGGATCCGTTCCTGAGGATAGCGGAACCCAACTAGTCGGCACAACAACAACAGCTATTCTACCTTACCAAGAAGGAGACTCAATCTACGACGTCGAGGCGCCTACTGAAGTCATCAACAACTCCGACAGTATGAAAACTAACACCAATAACGGAACGGCTCACGCACGGGAAGTGCTCATGGTTCGACGTCCTTGGTCACCATTAAACCCCCCAGAAGCACCCGATGTCGGTCATCGGATGAATCGAATCCAACATATCACCCTTTGCCTGTGGCTACGATGGAGAAAGCGAGAGTCGAGATGAGGCTAGAGAAAGGAAAAACAAGTTGAAACAAGGGCGCCAACACCGCGCTCGACAACAGAGAGAAGCTCTGGACCGGATCTGAGTCGAATTGGTTGAATCGACAAAAGAAAATCACAACAAAGAGCGAAGAGAGCGCGCGGTGAGTACGCCTTACGATAAGATTCGAGAAGCATTAGAAGAACTCGGGGCAACTTCACATCACGGAGAGAAGTACGAACAGCTCCAGGACTTGCTCCGGTCAACGATCCCAAGAACGCATGAAGAGAGAACCCGATCAAGACTACCCGCGGATCAACAATCCGTGAGGCAAGAAGATCAAAATCAAAGGAAGTCCGCTTTTGAAAGACTTGGACCAGGTGGAAGCCATAACGGAGAAAGTAGGAGGGAACATAGTCGGGGCCACCAATTTGAACAACCAAGGAAGACCAGGAGTAGAGAGGCCTGCAGAATGACCTCGCAGAATTATTCCCATCAAAACAACACTTGGCGGAAGAAGGAGCCGAATCCAATTCAAGGAAGCCGGAACGCATGATGATTCCCCTGTTTTGCAAACAGGTTGGCATCGAAGACGATTCGTAATGTGAACCGACCAATTATCTGAAATTAAGTAAGAAAATCATCCACAGGAGCGCAGACGATTGAACAAACTTAAGCCCATATAACCCGGTAGTCCGTGAAATCACAAAGGATTTCAAACCAACTCGTGTCCCGACCATGATGATCGTAATAAGTTTAGCGGTCACCATCACATATTACATAAAAGTTCGCAATCTCGGATACATCGAGTTTAAACATAGTTATTACAAACCAGTTCGAATAAAAGTAAGCGAAGTCATTTGTTCAAACCACACACACACTCACGCTGGAGTTTAAATATAGTGCCAGTGAATGATCATCTCCAACAAAAGCATTAGATGAGGCGTAAGGAATGACCATGCCCATGGTCCTAAGCATCACCCATTGCGGGATCTGAGCGGTTGATACAAGTAGCCATAGTACATCCGCCCATACGCAACAAGTGGGAATAAAACCACGAGTGCGAGAATGTACTCGGCCGGACTTACCAAACATAACCGAAATTAAATGACACCAAGGATTATGCAGGCATTATAGTAGGGTAGTGACTCGATTGCAAAAGAAGCATTTTTAGCATTTCAAGAACCTTTCTAAAAGCATTATTGTCAAGCTAATTATTATTAACTGTCGACTAGATTTTGCACCTATACTAGAGTAAACATGTGATTAAGCAATTAATGATAACCATCGATCATTAAACAACTTCCATCTTGTCATATTCACTATAAGCTGTCCAAGTGTTCCATAAACATTTACTACGATGAAGTAACTCAAGTCAAGTGCTCACTATCCGGGAGCGATGGCGATTGAATCGATTCCTAACCCGGTGGTGATTTATTCCTTACACAAATCTCACTCACCCGCTAAAGTGAGATATTGATCACCGAGTCAACTTTCTCTGTATCTCGAGTTTGCGGGAACCACATGTACCGGGGGCCGACCGGCGCACTTTGGTCTTATCATCCCGCCCGTGTCCTACCACACTGCTTGACGCGACAAGGCGCTCATGGGGCAATCTACTCGCCCGAAAATCTCCCCGGCTTCAGCGGTCGGAAGGTACTTTATCCGGCCGGCTAAATGTAAGGCATCGTTCAACATGACTCGAGGCCCAACAACGGTCGGTCCTTAATCGACCTGACGGAAACACTACGGTCCAAAACCCCGCAAGTCTCGCCGCCGGTCTCAACTTCATTTAACACTTAGTTATACCATGACTTCATAGCCATCCAAGCAGATCCAGGTAACCACCTATAGCTCGCGGTGGCAGAAATCACCCGACTTCTACCGGTCTAAGCCGACTAAGCATTGACTTCATTGCGGATACCGGGGTAACAAGGATATAGTATAACAAAGGTAAACAAGGTATAATGCAAAGATAGCGGTTGCAAACAACTCTGAACGTAATGCATCAATTTCAAGTAAAGCATTTAATTGAAATCATTGCAAACCGGGAGAAAGATGCTCGGGGGCTTGCCTCTCTCGAAGGAGCTTCGGGACGGTGATCGGGGCACTCAGGAAGTTCTTCAACGTCCTCCTCGTCGGCCACGGCACTTCCTGCTGGTTGCACCTCGAACTGCTCCTCGGGCTCCTCGGGAATGACGATTTGGGTTCTCGGTTTGCGATCTGTATGATGCAATGCGTGTAAGTGCCTATGCAATCGGTGCATCGAAGGAGATGAATGCAATGGATATGTTGAAAGGCAAGGTAGTCAACATCATCCAAGAAACTATTCTACAAGCACATGTCATCTATCTGCATTCTCTTCTACTACCAATATGTTAAGTCAACATATTTTATTAAATGCTTCAAAGATACACCAAAGCTTTACTAATTTCTTAATCACACTTAAGGCAACACTTGCTTAAACCCTAATTAATAATAGGTTTGAATAGCAACATATATTTCTGATGCTCCTAAAAATCTGAGAAAAATACAGTAGCATAATACTACCCTAAACAGACTACCATAAAAATGTCATGGCATTTGGATAAGTAAACTATCCTACATAAAAATGACAAGCTATAGCATAAAAATGAGCATGAAATTACTTTGTACTATGAAAAGTGTCAAACAACAGATTGAGTATTTTTCCTATGTTCTTTATAGTATATAATCACTGTACAAAAATTGTCACATGCATGTTTTATACAAAATTTGTGCTCTAGCAAAATAACAAAAATCAGCCATTAAAGGTACTTGAACTACACCTCAAATTTTTCCCACAGCACATGCATGAA